CAATTCTTCTGACAGCGATGCATTGAGGTGGTTATATGGCCCCCAGTACGGAACCATATGGCTGCAAGGCCCCAATCGTCACATTCACCAAAACATAGGAAGAGTCGCTTATGAGGATACTTCGGAGAGAGAGAGAGAGAGAGAGAGAGGAGAGAGAGAGAGAGAGAGAGAGAGAGAGAGAGAGAGAGAGAGAGAGAGGTGGAATGAGAGACAAAGACACCGTATTTATGGATGAATTTTGCATGAAGATTTATTGGATTGAATAGAACAAATTGTCTGCGTCGGTTCCAGAGATAGCGAACGCTGGTGTATAACCCTTCATCCTCATTTGTTGTTTTTTGTCCTGTCCTCTGCATGTGCAAACGATATTGACGTTAACAAAGTGAAGGAGAGTGTGTGTTTGTGTGTGTGTGTGTGTGTGTGTGTGTGTGTGTGTGTGTGTGTGTGTGTGTGTGTGTGTGTGTGTATGTGTTGGGGGGGGGGGGAGAGGGGACGGGAGGGCTCACTCGAAAAAGTGCATTGTCCGAGGTTCACCAATTAAGACGTCAACACAGTCTCATAAAAGATTGTATTTTTTTCTCATTCATGGTGCAAAATGAAGATCCCCAACAAACACCACGTTTTATCAACAATGATCGAGTCACGCGAGTCCTCAATCGAATGCTCCACATTGCTCCGATCGACGCATGCATGCATCGAGACGAATGGTCATCCGATCAACAGGCAGACACCTTCATTCCAAACACATCACCATCACATTTCCAGCACAATTCATCACATTTCCATCGCATTTCCATCACAAATCGAATTTGATATCCAACATGAAGTCATGTGTTCAGTTGTTTAACAACTGTTTACCAACACACAGTTCAACGTGCCCTACGCAGTTCAACACATTATAAACAAATTACAAACTGTTTACCAACACTTTGTTCAACTGTTTGTCCTGTCACTTCATGTGCACGACATAATTCGCAAACGTTGGTTTCCTTGACTTCCAGTTGACTACGGTGCATGTGCCACGAAAAACAGATTATAAACAGTTTATTAACAGATGACAGAGGTCAAGGACCCGTGATAAACAAAAAAAAAAAAAAACAGCGACAATTTTTTTGTTGGCAGTGCGTGAGCTTCATCGTGCACAAGCCATAGAGAGAGAGAGAGAGAGAGAGAGAGAGAGAGAGAGAGAGAGAGAGAGAGAGAGAGAGAGAGAGAAAGACGGAGAGGTATAGGCCCTTGCTTATGGTTGCAGGGCAGGTCATCTAGCTAGCTCGTGTGGTCTCTTTTGGCTTGGCTTGGTTCGAACCCACGTAGCACGTGGTGTCGATTTCGGAGTAGGTCATGTGATTGCTCAGTGCGTCGGCTGGGTGGCTGACCGGTGCTGCTTGGTAGGGCCCTTGCCTGGCTGCGCTAGCACCGTCCGGTACGTGGTTTGTCGTCGGACTGGCGAGAATCACAGTTTGAGAAGTCTCGGGATGATCTATTCTTGGGATCAATTGCAAGTGTGAGTGCGTTTATCTCAACGTAAWTTWTTWTWWTTTTTTTKATTGGYCGTTTGTTTGGCGAGGAGCAAGAAGCAGGAGAGCGGGCAACTTTCTGGTCTAGTTTGTCCTCCTCCTTTTTCGTCGCAATCATTGCTCTGCTTCTGTCAGTGGAATTTGGAATTGGATGGATACGAAGAAAAAGAGCTTTAAAAGTTTGAAGGAAGAAACTGGCTGAAACTGAAATTTAAAGGGTTCGCTGGAATTCTCTTTTTCTCGCTGCGTAGCATTTTCTGAACTTTTCTCTCATCCGGAGTTTGATTGGTTGTCGAGGCTTTGACTACATTATTCTACCGATGTCGGAGAAGCAAAGACAACGACGAAGAACAAAATGAATAAAACATGAAGGTCAATGCCAAGATGAAGATGAAGATGAAGATGAAGGTGAATGTCGAGATGAAGATGGAAGAGTAGGATAAGATCTTCTGTCTGGTATATTAAGACAGTGCTATTGTAGAACAGTGTTCCGCGTCAATTCAATCAATATATGTGGGCATTGGCAGTCAATTTTATAGTGTGAATTTTTTCCAAGCGAGCTGAGGGAATTCTTTCGGCCCACTTTCCAGGGCTCCCTAAGTATGTTTTCAAGTTTCAACTTTTCAATGAAGTTTTCAAGACGGTGCTCGTAGAAAAAAAAAAAAAAAAAAAAAAAGGAATATGAGACCACCTCCCATTCCATCCTCACGTCAATACTCCTAGGGCACCCCCTATCCCACTATCCTACTTCAGTGTGACCAGCACTCATGACCATTACCCTACCAATGGGAAGGTAACTTGGACCGAACAGCAGTGATAGGCAGCAGGGCTGATAGGTTGCCTAGCCCAGCCCTGGTGAAAGCGGAATGGGACGAGCCTTGTCGAACCGGAACTTCAGACTCCAGGCCCAGACAATCTAGTGCAGGCCCCAAGAGACTCTGGGCCCTAGGTTTCAGACAGGGTAGCGCCCATTGAAGCAGTCTTACTGTCCTTCCCCTAGCCTACCCAAGGCCAGGCGGAACTCAGACTGGCCTGAGCGACTTATACCCCTGAGGGCCCTACCCTTACCCCAGGGTCTAAGCCTTATAAATAGGCACTAGACAGTTCTACCCGAATATCAGTAGGAACTCATGTGGCCCATACCTGTCCCAATCACAGATACTAGACCCCACCCAGTGACTATACCCCCCCAGTCTGATAGTTGTGTAGCTCGAAATGTATGTGTATACCCGAAGGCTGTGTATGCTTCGTGTATCTATGTATGAAGATGTACAGACAGCACTATGTGTGGAAACTTATGTATGTAGCCCGTAGGCCATGTATAATTCGCAAGCTATGTATATGCCCAAAGGTTGTGTGTGCTCTGTGAATCAATGTATCGAGATGTATAGGCAGCATCATGTGTGTATATCAAGGAGAGAACGGGGTAAGCTGGACAAGGACCCCCCCCAAGATCCGAGCCAAGCTCGAACCCGTGACCTTGAAACATGTAATCTTATGACTCTGCCATGGAACGGCTAGGGGAAATGGCGTGAACGTGTGATATGCCAGACTGGGGAGATCAACAGAACGCCCAAGACCAACACCCCCAAGCAACCCATGTGAAACCCAGAACCAACATACAACACCATGAACAACCCTTGGGTGGTGTGCAGGCAGTGTCTGTAATAGTACCATGCGTCAGCCCAAGGGAGTGTGTCCAGTCGTGCATCAGTCTAACGCCCTGTCGGTGTCCATGCGTAAGGTTGCAATTGAGTTTTGAACTCGCAACCTCATACCACAACTTGATTGCGCATTTCCAACCGGTGCTTTAACCACTGAGCCACATCAACTGGAATCCGGTCTTAAGTACCGGACTCAAGTTGAGTCCCGAGGGCAGAAGTGCAATTTGCCTCGGGGCTAAGCTGAAAATCGAAGGTCTGAGCCTGGGCGCCAGAATGTCGGATGGCGCCAAGTATAAAATCTGAAAGTGCCAGGGGGAGGATTTGAGAATGGGCGCCAACAGTCAGGAACCGGAGATCAGTGACTCAAAAATAAAATAGCAGCCTGGCGGGTGGTAACCCGCGGCCCAGGGATCGAGCCCGGAGTGGGAGCGGAAGGTGGGGGGAGACGGGAGACGGGAGCGGGAGCAGGAGCGAGGAGCGAGGAGCGGGGAGCGGAAGCGGGAAGCGGGACCGGGAGCGGGACCAGGAGCGTAAGTGGAAAAGAGGGACCGGGACAAGAAAAAAAAAAAAAACAAAAAAAAACAACAACAGTGTGGCAGTGTATATTTCCATGTTCTAGCAGTACATTCATTCGATTTTGCTCATCTTATCGATGGAAGTACCATGAAGCCAGCCGCGAGGTTAGAGACTTACCTTTTTTTTTTTTTTTTTTTTTTTTTTTTTTTTTTCTCTAAAAAAAAAAAAAAAAAAAAAAAAAAGTTTGGCAGTGTATATTTCCATGTTCTAGCGGTAGATTCATTCCATTTTGCTCATCCTATTGGAGACTTACCTGTTCTCTCTCTCTCTCTCTTTCTCACACACACACACACACATACACACACACACACACACACATACACACACACAATAATCGACAACTTTTCTCAAGGGTGTCGCTAACTCCGGGCGATGTGGTGAGTCCTTATCCATCAGTCAAATGAATCCTGGGCAGACTGTCCGGGTTCAATCTCCTAATGAGTCGGTGAAAGTCCGACGAAACAGTCTGGCACAGTCATGTTTCTTTTTACTGTATAGCTCGGCTACCAGCCGGGCCGCCCGGGTCACCCTATTTTCCCGGGCAGCCCGGTCGTGCAAGGACCAGGGAAGGACCTAGCAAAAAAAAAAAAAAATCGATAAATCCGAAAAAAAAACTATGTCATGCAGAAAATTAAACTGAACAAAAATCGATAAAATCCGAAAAAAAAACTATGTCTTTTTAAAAATTAAACTGAACAACGTTTGCTTCAGGGTCACATCGAAATTCTGTACAAAATTTTAAATAAATAAATTAATTAAAAAATAATTATTAATTTTTATTTTTATCTTGTTTTTGGCCCGACCGGGCAAGTAGTCCCGGGCCACTCTGGTAGCCTAGGTGTATAGTGAATATGACAACACACAAACACTCTCTCACGCACGCGGGGCAAATGCAAGTTTTTTTTTTGATTGATTGATTTATTGATTGATTGATTGATTGATTGATTGATTGATTGATTGGTTGATTGATTGGTAGCACCCGCCAGCAGGGAAACGTTCGAATGTTCGAATGCTGGTGGGGGCTGCCATTCGAGCTTGGTTAGACTTCGCGAATGGTACACCCCTCTCTTCATGATTGATCCTAGCCACCGATTTCTGCAGATCGGTAGCTACATATGATCGGCCCAAAAAAGGCCTTGGCGCGACCTAGAATTTGTTTTTTTTTTTCGTGGGCGTGTGTTACCGGCCTTGGGGGGGCAACCTGGACCGATTCGGCCTCTCGAGATCCCCCCAGGCGTTTTGCGTTGGGACCGCCCGGTGGCCAACTAGAAGGGACAACTGGTCAGGCCCCCTTCCCGAGTGACGTCCAGGGCCCCAGGCGCCCCGACAACCAGCCTAGTCCGATTCGATTGGATCTTCATTTCGAAATTTGAACGACAGTGTTACGACACAGAGATTATTTTCATGGCTCATAACACCAATGCTTTGAGGAATGTATCTGTCCACTATGTGCGGTTGTGGTTTGCTTTTTTTTTTCTGGTTACATGTCGTTGTAGTGCCCTGCCAACCAGGCAGGGCATATTTTACCCACGACACGTAACTTCTTAACGTTGTAGCATCCTGTATCCGCCCTTAATCACAGCATAAGAGAGTTTTGTTTTTTTTTTTCGTTGTTTGTCTGGTACACAACACTCACTGAGGGCACAGTCACACGAGCACCTCACATAATATATTTGGTGGTTATTGTGGCATGAGGAAGTTTTTTTTTTTTTTTTTTTTTTTTGTCCTTGTTGCTTATTGGACGGAACGACCCCGATTGGGCAAAACTCGGTGCTAAGTGAAAATGAGGCTCGACAAAAACAAGATCGGAGGTGGTGGTGGTTTAAGCTTGTAGTCAACAAAGTTATACTCTTCACTCATGTGTCTCACACTACCTACCCTATTGTTTAAGTCTACGTTCGGTTCCAGAGGCAATTATGGGTTCATGTCTGGTCTATGCGGGGAGCAAACCCTGACTCTCTAACACTTGTCACAAGCTGGAAAACACATACATTGTTTCCATAACCAGCCAGGAGGCCCAAGTGATTAATCTTTGTTAGTAAGCCTGAAACGCTTCCCGACATTCCCGTGTCTGGCCGCGGGAGAGCAGGCTAGCTCAACTGGTTGAGGAAAGGGGTAGAGAGGAAGGAGGGTGGAGGAGGGGAAAGTGATACATAGGTCGGTAGGTGCCTACATTTATGGACATAATCAATGTGTCTGAGCACAAAGAGTAGGCACCTACTGACCAGTCCAATATTACTCGACTCAACATGAGAAAAGGGGTAGAGAGAGGGTAGGGAGGATAGGGGAGGGAATGTTGTACACAAGGATATGGCTAGTACATAGCACTATGATTTTGATATGTTTTTTTTTTTTTTTTTTTTTTTTTTTACTCACAAGTGTGCAACACGATGAAAGTTGAGGCTAGTTGAAATCTGGTTGAAATTGGTTGAAACCTGTTGAAACATGTTGGAACGTGTTGATAAACATTTAAAAATTCCCCACAATCATTTTAAGCCCACTATAAGTTGTTTGTAACCACATGACATCGTGCTCCCTGTTTATCGACGATTATGGCAAATTAAAAACCCGTCCATCTTACCGACTTTTTTTCTGTTAAAGGGTCCAAGCATCACTCATTGACTCTCCCTCCAGCGAGCACAATCACCCCGCTGTTGCCGTCAACAAGATGGGCTTCACACCAGCTACCAGACACCCCGTCGTTCACCAAGCAACTCGCCCCGCTGATCGCTCCTCACTCCCTTACTCTAGCTGGGTGGGCAGCACTCCAACCAGCCGACAGCCTTCAGACCATCGCGACTCGTCCTCTGGCTGCTTCGACTGTCGACAGTAAGCAACACGTAAGTATTCCAGCCCTACAACCTGGTTCACGCTAAACCCATAGGTAGGGTGGGCAAAATCGAATGGCCCTCTCGCCAGGTCCTGACCAAATGAACGAGTTGTCGCACACATGCGTGCGGAGAGGAAAGAGGGAGGGCCTTGAGCAATGCACCGGCGGACAAACAAGTCTTCAATTCCGCGGCTAGCCTCCCGCTACTTCCACAGATCGCACGAGCGACGAACCCGCCAACCCGTAAATCCTCCGCCTTCTGCTGGTCTCTCGCTATCTCCCCTGTTCGACCGAGCAAG